AAGCTTCATGTCATGTTGCTGCAATGTGTAAAACATATTTTCAAAGTAAGCATATTCCACTACTCGAATGGTCTTGGAATAACCCAGACCTTCATTGATACTGCCAATTAAAGAAACTTGTTAGTCAGAAATAACTCATCAATAAAAACCAATTAATAGAAAAAAGAATTTAATGTTGATTTCATATTATTATAGCTTCAGAACTACTTCAGAATTACTTAGTTTCATAGAAAAGTGTTGTAAGTACGTAAAGCCATGATTAACCCCAGAAGTTACCCAATTAACTATTAACTGACATGGTAAGAAGGTTTTCATAGTTAATTTTCTCTATGTGTTTCAACTTTCTTCATTGCAAATGATGCTCTTATAGAAAATCCCTGACAAACACCACATGACATTCTTGGTTAAATTTTCTTTCTACTGATATATAATTTCATACTACTACTTTAAAAAAAAAAATTACAGGCCATTAAACCACAAAATTACACTTTTCCAAAAAAGTTTTCTCTATTTTAGCCATTAGTGTAATCTGAAGTTTTAAAGAAGTGTCCAAATAAATACAGTACAAAGTCCGAAATCTGGACTCGTCGGGACTCCGGCAATTCCGGATATTAGATCATCAGTTTAAATCTAGTAAGTTGGCATGCAGAAATTATAAAATATGAAATCGTGATTTACTAAATAATAAAGTATTTATGATCTAAAGGGTATAAAAAAAACTTAATATTTATTTATTTACCTTATTAAATATTTCTTTCAATGTACGTTGTTTAACCCTCCGAAGGTTTTGAAAGAGATAAGACATTGTTTTGTAAAGTGTCAGCAGCTTTGTCAACAAATAGCTTCAAAAGCGTGGAAGGTTTCTGTCAAAGTATCCACCGAAAGCGTTAAGCAGTTTTCGTTTACCCCGCTACACCTGTGGAGAATCATCCAGGTGAACTGATTAGTGTTGGCTGTAAAAGTATCAATCACTGTCAGAACTTTGCCCTTCGGGAGTTTTCAAGAAGTAGAATGCTTTTGAATAAACGATCTGACTTGTAACAGTAATGTTCATTTATGCTATGGATTTTGTTCAATGAAAATTTTGAGGGAACTAAAATTAAGGCTTTAAAAAAAAAAAAAAAGTATGTTTATTTATTTATTTCTTTACTCTTATATGTTTGTAAATTGTACATTTTTGCTTTAAAAATGATTGAATTATGTTGTTTTTATCTTCCGGTTAAGGGTTTTTATGCCTTTAGTAAATCTGTATGCCAATATTTTTAGAATTATCAACAATTTTAAAATTGTTTAAGTGCCGCTAAGCCTAATTTGATGGCGGCCATTGCTCTTGTTACATTTGAAACAGCTGAGTAGCGGATTTGTTGCCAATCTAGAGAAACTTAGCTTCGCAACAACAAAGATAACGCCTTCATTTATTATTTAAATCATGCTTAATCCTTTCTGGAATTTTTTTCAGGAAATAAGCGTTTGAAGACTTCGTAATTTTTATACAGATATTTTGAGTTTTTATGTATTTTTGCCTTGTCGCGAAGTGAAAACTGAATTAATTGAATGAGAAATACTCAATCGTCTGTGAAAAACTGTTTCTTTTTGTTTTTGTTGCTTAATTTCTTTTATACATGTTCTAGCTTTATTATAGTATTTGATAGAACATGTGGCAACGATTAGATAATTCTTTAAATGATATAAATTTTGTGCATCTGAGTTTATAATATGAACGAAATATAATACTGTTAAGTAAACTAGCGCAGAGTGTCGCTATGGTAAACAAAGTGAATTTTAAAGAATGCATTTATTCTATTGTGGTTCATCATATATTAAATAGAGGTTAATGCATAGTTTTACTAAACATTTCTTCAGTATACTTTCAAGGTAACTACCTAATACAGAAACATAAGTTTTTTAATATTTATATTTATAATTTGGGTTTAGATACATTGAATTAAGATTATTTCCCTGAATTTACTACATTTTTAAATTTTATTTTTCAGTATAATAATATGCAGCTATTTTTAAAGGGTGTAAATGGTGAAAGTTTCGAAAACATGAAAAGAAAAAAATTATTTTTGCACTCAAAAAATGCAAATCATAACGAATTTTAAAATAAAATTCTGTAGAACTGATCATGATTAGATTCATCTTCCTTCAGTTAGGTTTTTTCAAGAATATTTGTGTGTTAATATACATGCTCAAAAATGTGAATATTAGAAATTATATATATCAAACATGCATTGAAGAAGAAGTAAGCTTTTCAATATAAATTCAACTAATTTCAATGAATACCCGAGATAATATGATCACAATCTACCTGAATATCCAAGAATATCTGGGCAACAGGTTTGTTTCCTATAGGCTTATATTTATTATTATGCACATGTGGAACTGCTATTTTTTAATATAAAAACCGTCTAGGGTTTGCATCAAAAAAATTTAAGATTTTAATTTCCGTAAAATAAAATATAAAAACAGACATTTTACGGCAAAACTGAAGTGTAAAACCCTTTTTATTCACGAAAATGCACAACATATTTCTATTTCAACTAAAAAAAGCAAAATTAAATTTTGTTCATATGACTGGCTGGCTCAGTTAAAAATAAATACATAATCTTTTTTCTTTCCTCTAAGAAACTAAAATTCAACAAGATATCCCCCCCTTTTTTTTCCAAAACAAAACGTGTAATTTAGTCAATTTCAACTAAAAATAGTTTAGACTATTCGGATATTGCAGAGCATAAGAGAGCTATTTATTGCAAACATGTGAGGGCTGCCATTGTGAAAGTCTTCCTAAGGGAAACTGACTTTGCACTAAACACCAATGATGCAGTCATCCCATTCACCTATGTTGGAACCTAAATCAAACTATCAGCAAGTGTTTTATCATTCGGCTAGACGAAACCGATTCAAAAATTTTATTCGCATACAGCACTAAACTCGACACCCATAATAAGAGAATTCTAGTCTTACTATATTTCTTGTGCTCTGTAGTTAGCTCATTCTAATGCAATTAGTAGGTAATATCGATATTGGAAAATTTTTAATGCAAACTGCACTTTCGAATTTTCTTTCACATCGTTCTAAATTTTACAGTTTGAGCCCAGTTATACGAACAGAAACAGATAATAGTTATAGGGGTGTACTGACTCTCCTGGATAGCGGAAAAGAAATCTTTTTCATCAAAGGTGCCATATATAATACGCAGAATGACAATGCACATTGCCTTTCATTCTTATCGTCCCTCCTCTAATTTTCAATGCATATCTTATTCTTTCTTCTAGTCATTTTACATTACCGCTTCTTTTCAACATGCACCCTATTTGAAAATACTTGATCTATTTTTTGGAATAGAGGCTAAACTTTTCTCAGTATCGTAAGAGAAAGACGTTCAACTGCATGTAAGAACGCATTTCTGCGAATAAAATTTTGTAGGAAAATCTGCAAAATGCTTCAATTTTATAATAAATGTGTGCATAATATATACAAAATTTAATAACAGATCTTATAATTATATATATTTACAAATTCGTTTTCCAAAATTGCAGTTTTTTTGTATCCCAAAGGAGCGTGAGGACAGATGGTCTACTATTCTCAAAACAGCATTTTATAGCGTTTCACTATAAACGGCGAACCAACTTTTAAATTGTTGCCACCAAATATTATTGTCTTGTATTATATTTAAAGAAATTAAATAATTAAGAATCTTCATGAATATGTCTCGCATTATTAAAAATACAGTACCTACCCAAGCAGCACGTCTCCAAAAATATACGTATAATTTTGGTGAAATAAGGGTATGGTATTTTTTGCACGTTACTTTTACGAAATTTATACGAATGAAAAAGGCTGAAGTTACTGTTAACTCTAGATCGTTATTTTCCACATGTTATTTTTACGAAAATTATACGAATCCGAATGTACTGATAAAACTACCGCCATGATGGTATATTTTATTCGTCACTTTTACGCATATTATACGAATCCGAATGTTCTGAAAGAAACTACTGCCTTTATGGTATATTCATTCGTCACTTTTACGGATATTATACGATGTCTAAAAAGATTGAAAATGAAGTTTATTAATTCAAATATTTAGTGTATTTCTGGCATTTCACTTTGTTTTCCTTGTCCACGAACATGAAAAAAGGGGCATTCATATATGAGGCTAAAATTTTTCTATAAATTTTAACATGTGAGCTAAATCTTTACGTGCATTTTTGCAAAAAATTATATTTTCTTAATTTAAACATCTTTAAAATAACTTATTTATTTTCTTATATCAAATTTGTTATTTTTATTCATATCAACACTTATATTAATTTACACAATTTAATTTCTTTTATGAAAATCCTATTACCCATTTAACTGGAATAAGCTGTATATTAAATTTGTGTACTTACTGAGTTTGGTACAATACTCTCCTTATTTTATTTAGCAAATGTGGGCAATTGAATTGGAATAAGACTAGCAAATCTTTCATGTCGAGGAATATAATAATAAATACAGCAGAAGATGCTCGAAAACGTTTAACTTCTTGAACAATAGTTTAATGTAGACCAAAGGAACATTAATTATAATCAAAGATATACTAATATTTTTATTTAATAATAATAATAATAACTCTACGAAATTGCAAGCTGAATCCTGATATTTTACATATATTTCAGTTCCTTTAATCTTTGTTATAAAAATCATATGAGGCTAATTTTTTTAAATTTTGTTTAATGTACGGAAAAAATGATATAGCGATTTTAATAATTTTTATATGAGGAAAAAATTAATAAATAATGTAAATAAATATTATTTATTTTATTTTTTCCTGAAACAGTTAAAGACATTCTTAATATGGAGATCTACAGAATAAGTACAAGGGTCCAGTTAAATGAACTCAAAATTTGCATAGTTAATTTTACGCTATAAAAATTAACCGGATTTACGATTATACACTGAGCATGCGCATATACAGACATTTCTATTTTTCGTAGAAAAATTTAATTATTACCTTAATACAGAGATGCTGTGAATATAAATTTATATAATGCAAAAGTAAGTTTATTTCATATGCTAATTTAGAGGCTTTCTTAATATGTTTAATTATAAAGAAAAAAAAAAGCGTTGCAATTCTTGTTCACTGACCAATGGCAAAGCAGACACTTTCTACTTCCGGTTGTGGAGGGATATTTGTGAAGTCAGCACTCAGCAATGGCGGTTGAAAAGAATGGTAAAGTCGCAAAGAATACTGTTTGTTCGTGGATTGGCGTTTGTGACAGAATCCATCGAAGTTACTAATTATTTGAAGAAAGTAAGTGAATATTTTATATTTTCAGTGTTTAATACTCGTACTTTTTTCACCTATATAAAATTTTATAAATAGCGTCTGTGTAGGAAATGTGATTTTCCATGCGTTGTTTGTTCTTTTGTGTACGTGCCTAATGATTAATTTTCAGGATTTGGTACTGTTAAATTTTGCACTAGTCTGTTTCTTACTGTTTGTGTCACTCCTTTTTGTATGTGTCTCACCTTTTTATAGCTATATTATTTTTACTCAAACGTTTTAATATTTATCTTAAAGCATACTGTAATTAAGCAGGAAATAGCTTTTAATGGAAAAAGAAAGGCAATATTAACATGACTAATTGTTCAGAAATCTGTTATGGAAATGTTATCTACCTTATGCCAAAAAATAAAGCATGTAACTTTCATTTATTTATGAAATTCAAAATTTTTTATTTGCTTAGTGTTTTCCCTAAAAATAATTTAATTTCTTATTTTTGAATTTAGTTTTATAAATTTGCTTTAATATATAATCTTTAACTCAAAGATATTGTGCTATTAAAAAAGGAAACTTTATGCCATAGAAACACAGGTACTTTGTTCCAAATCTGTGTTCATTTTTTTTTTTATATATATACTGAATTTTTATGCACTAGTAATTACTGAAATATATCCTTTCATGAATAATAAGTAAGTCCTAAGTCCTTTCATGAATGCATTTCTTTTTTGTTTGTTTGATTTGTTGTTTTAAAAGATCTGCCATAGTTAAAGAAAGAAAATAAAGTAAGAATGCTTTACTTTCAGTTTTGAATAAATTTATTACTATTTACTGCAGCTTCAAGTTTCTCTAAACATAATTTTCGAAGTCAAAACTTGATAGTTATGTTGATTATTAGACTTGCATGAAAAAAATTTATTGAAAAATTAGTATTTGATCTAAAATACCTTAAATTATTTGAATTATATTTTACTAAATCATGTATTTTGATATAACTAAATAGTTAAAAAAATTTAAATTGTAAATGTGCAGAAATGCTTATATAAAACCAAGAAATTGTTTACATTTTTGTTGCTTTTTCCCTTGTAAATTAATTATATATATATATTACAGTCTGGGGAGTCAGCGGGGATGTTTCCATAACCGGCACTTGGCGAAATTGCAGATTTGGATTTTCTATTTCATAGTTATTGAAATCGTAATGGTATGTTTGTTTAAATTAGTACTGCTTATGAATGTGATAAAAATAAATTCTGATAAATAAGAAATGATTTATTTTCTATTAATTATGAACTGTAAATAATGTAACCAATTTTCTTCATAGTATATTTACTAAACATTTTATATATATATATATATATATAAAAGGGAGGTAGTCTTATTTATACAATTCTTGCAGAGATACCAAGAAATAAAACATTTCAGGAATTTTCACTCAGTATATCTTGATGTGTAAAATCGTGTGTTGTTCAATGCCATATTACTTTTTCACAGGAAAGTAATTTTATTGATCTAACATCTGCATAAATCAAACTTTTTTAAGAATGATTACAGTTTCTAAGCTAACTTAAAATTTTCAGATTTAGAAAATGTATGTTTAATGTAGCATTAGTTTTCCATGGAATAGAAAAGGTTTTCAAAATGTTCAGTTGTTAGAGGGAAATAATATAAATGAGATTGTCCTGATACAGTTTCAGCTGGAAATGAAACTGAATTTTCGGATAGTGAAGATTTCATTTAAGAATTCTGATAAAACTGATTAATGTAATTCCTCTGCATTTAAGAATTCTAATAAAACTGATTAATGTAAATCCTCTGCATTTAAGAATTCTAATGAAACTGAATAATGTAAATCCTATGATTCATGTAGGTATGTTCTTCTGTTATCAGGAGATTCAGAAATGTGTGTTTATATGCATGCATTTTTAAATGTAGGTGCTCGTGTGTGCATGTGTATATTCTTTATGTATGTATGTGTATATGCGCATACATGCATATACACATGCTTACATATCTACAGTGGAACCCCGAGATACGAGTTTAATTTCGTCGTTCAGCATTCACAACTGGTATTTGGTAAGCGAATTTCTCGTATCTAGAAACACAGCTTCCCCATTGAAAATAATGGAAATTCAGTTAACCCGTTCCACACCCCAAAAAAATATCAACATTTTAATATCAAGTCAATTTTTCCTAATAAATAACACTGGTAAAAAAAATATATCAATAGTTTAACTTTTGTTACAACAAAATTTTAAATTTTCTAACTCATTCTCATTAATCCACACCAACAACAGCTTCTCAACATCTAGGAGTACTTTTATGGTGCTTGGAAGCAACGATAATTCCTTTGGCTACATCAGGTTTCTTAATTTCTTCCTGCTTCTTCAGAATAGTATAGATTTTCGATATTGAAAGGCCGCAAGTCTTCGCCAATTCGGTCACCATGCTTATGTTTATCTACGATTTCTTTCTTGATATCGACGGCCATGGCCTCCTTATTTTTCTTTGCAGCACTATCTGAGGCAACAATCTTCTTGCGAGGCATCTTGAAATAATTATTTTCACGTTAAATGTCAAAACAATTAACTTGCAAGTGCACAAACATGTATATAAAAGAACACTGAGTGATCTGACGAGGGGATTCCCCGAGTTGAGCCGGATAGGGAAATGGCACCACCCATACCAACAGCCTGGCTCATTGCTCGTTACTCGAATTAATCTCGTATTTTGCTCATACTTTCCTCGTATCTCGAGGTTTCATTGTACATTTCTGAATCCCGTTCTAATAACGGAGGAGTACCTTTGCCAGTATTGCAACAGAGCTAGAATGAATTATTGTGTTAAATATGTGGAATTGCATGCTTAAAGTACTGTTATTTTCTAAAAATATTATGTATGTCTATTTTTTACAAGAAGAAAAAATAGCTAAAAGCTGTTAATTTACTCGGATTTATTAGTCCAAAGGGGCTTTGTCCCTAAAGAACTATTGTTTTTGTTTTGCATTGGTTCACTATAAATATCTGTTTCACTTTTCAAACTGTTCCTACCAAATGTCCTAGTGTGGGATTAATACTCTCTATCTTAGTGCCCTCTGTAACCTATGTTAGGGTTAACCTGTATAACTTACAAGGATTGCCAGTTTAGGCGAGATATCTAGGTAGTCATCATAATACGTACCTTATTTTTTATTATTTTTAAATTAAATTGAAAGTAATAAACTAGTTTTCAAGAATGGAGTTAAACTAGATTTGCATTCAACTCTGGTTTATTGTAGTTAATGATGTTTTGCTGTAACAAATATGAATTTTTTGTTTAAGTATAATAATTTAAAATGTTTTTTCTAGAGAATGAAGTACTGCCACTAAGGTAAAGGTGCTAACTTGCAAGGTAATTTTCTATTCTACATTAACTCAATCTTTATGTCCTGTTACAGATATATTGGCAGAAATAATGAAAACCTGACATTCAAAAAGAAAAATAATAATGTTGAATGTAGTATATTAGATGGTTAACTGAGGTTTGGCAACTCATTAATAATCTTACACATATTGAGTACGAATAACTTTGACAATTACCGGTATTTTCAATAGTATAAAATTAGGCAAGAAAGCAGTTTTAGCTTAGCACCGATTTTAAATACAACTCTCTTACCAATATTGGTTTGACGAAGGTAAAATATAATTGAATTTAATAAGTTGGAAATACTGTCTGTCTTTCCATGAGTTAAAAAATAATTTCAAATAAAATTTCTTTTTTCAGTTTTTCATGTTATTTGTTTAATGTTATTGTAATCTGATTTATCATATTTAGTCACATATTCCATCCCTCTTTGCACTATAGTATATAATTCAAAGGACTTATCAGTTTCAGCAATATTTTTTTTTACCAGTATACATTTTTACCATAACTCTGTTTCTAAATCATATCCTGAAAAATTAAGGAGTAAAGTACACAAAGAAGGAAAATATGCAAGTAAATAATGGCATTTAGTGTTGTTTATGTGTCTAATATTTGTACTAGATTGTAAAAGTTATATAATTCTATTAGCTTTTTTAAATTATTCTTTTTGAAATTCAGGTGCTTCTTTGCACCCAAATGGTTAAAGCCCTAGTGTGACTTTGGTACTTTGATCTAACTTCTATTCCTAATAAATAATCCAGCTGCATACAGTTTACTCAATTTCTGCCTATGTGTAAGGTAAACAATATTAGCTTTTTTTAAATATATCTTTTACAACTATTCCATCAGGTAGATTTCTTTCATATTTTGCCTTAATTGAGTCATCCTGCTAATTAAGAATTTATTAAAGTTAATATGTTAAGTTTTTGTGTGTATAATTCATTTTAAGTATGTGCAAGCAAATGCATACATTAACAGTTACGTAGAATTATGTTTTGGGTATCAAATTCAGAAAATTTGGGGCTGTTTTTAGAAGATTTATTAATGATTTATACTATATTAATATTGGTAAAAAAATTCTGTGGCTTTTATATGAGAGTATATATTTTAAAATAGCTGCATGATATGGTAGAGGTAAAAAGCTTCATGTGGATCATAAATTAATATTATGTGGGAAATTTTTTCATTTATTTAATAAAGAAAATATTCAAGCCACAATTAAAATTTTTTCACTGGATTATTTGCATACAAAGTTTGCAGCAAATATTTCCTGCAACAGAAGTGACAATTTTTATTTTGCCAAGACAGGAAATTTAGTTAGTGAAAGCAGTAACCCTATTTTGAGATGTTAAACAGGAAGGCAAATTTTTGAATTTAAATTGATTTTTGAAGGAAGACTTATTTAGTCTTGCTATCATTCTACGTGGCTCTTAACTTTTTTATGGTATTTATAATTTTATTGTTATTCAGCATTCTGTTTGCTTAGAATGCACATGAATGTAGACTTGAAATATTTTATATTGCAAACTGAGATGCCATTGTTATCATAATTAAAGATTTTTGCTCTGATTTTGGAGGAATTTACTGATAATACTTTTGATTGTGTATTGGTTTCTGGTTTATTGAAATGTGTAAAATAGCCTGTTAATGCATATACGTATGTTAATGACATGTATATGTTTATGAAGTATTCTGTTATATGTATATAGTGTTGTGATTAGTTTTCTGCTTACTCTTTATTTAAGAAAAAGTTATCTGTAAGAAAGCGAATATTCTTTACTATATGTAGGAGTAAAATTGAAAAGGCTAATGCAATATAATTAATACAAAATTAAGTTTTTTCTCATGTACTTAAATACAAACATAGCCATTAAAGACTTTCTCAACCTTGCAGTTCTAAACAAATCTTAAGTATTTTTCACTTGAAATTATAGGCATTGTGTAAGGTATATAATTGAAGCTTACTGTGTGATAGTGTGAAATTAAATTTTTAATTACTGAAATGTAAATTTTTAAATATGAACAGTAGTCTCTCGCGTAAATATACCTAAATTTTACGTAAAAGTTACGTATAGTATAACGTAAAAATATACGTAAATATTTAGTAATTGCCACTGGACACTTTTTATGATATTTTTACGTTCAACTTGAACGTTTTTTATACGAAAGGCCATTCGTAAATTGCACGTATTTTTCTCGTGCAATTTACGAATGCATGCTGCCTGGGTAGAGCCATCAATCTACATGAATGTATATTTGTTTTTCGCATTGCGGAAAAACAACATTACCTAGAGTCATCACATTTTGGATCACATAGTTCTCCAACTGAACAAGGACAGTTGGAAGTCCGAATTTAGAATCTGAAATACATTTTTATTGTCTATTTTATATTCTGTAAAACTTTAACGGATTTTTAATTAAAAAGCTCAATAGTGTCAAAGTGAGCAATGGAACATTGTAAGGAATTAAACATTTTTGCCTACAGCATGCGAGCCTGTGTATCGGAAATTCTAATGATGTGCTGTTTCTAAATATTTTTAGCTCAAAGTGATGTTAACCCAAATGATCTCGAAACATGTACAGTTTTATCCACTTTTGAAAAATTTTATGTTTTTGAACATTGTATGCTTATAGAAAATGTTATGTTTCGCAAAATCCACTTTTGAAAAATTTTATGTTTTTGAACATTGTATGCTTATAGAAAATGTTATGTTTCGCAAAATGCAAACTTGTATATATCATTTTAAAGAGAATTTACTACTGAATTCAATACAAAACACAAAATTCAATTATTTGCAATACAAAAAAGTTATATGTACTTTAATATAAACAAAAAACACAGTTATGAAGTGGTTTTTAATGTCTAGCTTTCCTGGACAATCACTGTTCTTGTTCTGAGAACCAATCAAATGTTAGTAACTGCCAGTAGAAGCTGACATTATGTATACACTTGAAACAGTTCCATTATTTTGCTTTGTTCTGTAGAAGGAGGACCTGTTTCTTATATACTGCAATTACAAGTAGGAATTTTTGCAAAAATTTTTAATATTTAGTCAAGAAGCAATGACATCAAATAAAAGAGTAGATTGGACACCTAGAAGAGATGTAATATTATTGTGTTACGAGAAAGTGGTCTTTCCTATGCTGAAATTGCAAGGCAGGTGGGTGGTTCAGTGACTACATCTGGAGTCCAAAAGTTTTGCTTACGATATCAGGAGACAAATTCAATAAAAAACAAAGAAGGAAAAGACCAAAAAAAGGTGCACCACATCTATTGATGACAGAAGAAAAAAAAAGACTATGTCTCCAAGATAGAAAAATGTCATTAGCGGCCATCAGAAGTGATCTGAATGATGCTCGTGCTTCAGTCTTCAGTCAGTTCAAGAACAATCAGGAGAAGATTAACAGATGTTGGACTGAGAGGTAGAATTCCACGAAAAAAGCCTTATCTTAATTTTCAGAAACAAAAAAAAAAAAAAAAAAAAAAAAGACTACAGTGGGCAAAGGAACACATTAATTGGACAGTGGGCACAAGTTATATGGAGTGATGAAACTAAGATATCATTATTCGGTAGTGATGGGCGAAAATATGTAAGACGTAGAATAGGAGAAGAGCTACATCCTGACTGCATTCAAGCAACTGTGAAGAACCCAGTTAGTGTTATGATTTGGTTATGCATGTCAGCAGATGGTATTGGTCGCCTTCATGTCATCGATGGGACATTGAATGCCAGAAAATACATTGACACTATTCTAGAACCAAAACTTCTACCTTCCATCAGAGATCTCCTTCCCAACAATGCTTCGTTTATTTTTCAGCAGGATTCTGCTCCTTGCCACACGGCCAAAATATCGAAAGAGTGGTTTCGTACAAAGAGCATTAAATTGTTGTCATGGCCAGGAAACAGTTTTGACCTCAATCCTATCGAAAATTTGTGGCACCGTTTGAAAACTCTTGTCCGAATGAGGCACCCATAAAATAAAAGGGAACTAATTGAGGCTATAATTGTTTCCTGGCATCATGTAATAACGAAAGAAAAGCTTAAAACTCTTGTCAGCTCAATGAAACGTCGATGTGAAGCTGTAATCAAAAGTAAAGGGTACCCTACTAAGTACTGATAACTCACTGCAATCATCACTATCTAATGTATATCGATAACTATTATTGTTTAACTTTTTTTGTATTGTAAATAATTGAATTTTGTGTTTTGTATTCAATTTGGTAATAAATTCTCTTTAAAATGATATATACATGTTTGCATTTTGTGAAATGTAACGTTTTCTATAAGCATACAAAGTTCAAAAACATAAAAATTTCCAAAAGTGTCCACAATTTTGGCCACCACTGTATATGTTTGTAAATGAAACAAATTGCCTGTTTGTACTTAATATAAAATCTGATGAATGAAACAATAAAATTCATTTTTTCATTTTTGGGGGGGTTGGGGTACTGAACTCAGTTTTACATAACTTTTCAGCCAAATATGTTGCGCTAGCATTATTTTCTTATTTTTTATAAAACGTTTTAGAAAAGTATTTAAAATAAATGGATCTTATATCAAGTTAAAGAAAGTGTGTAACTGTCATAAGAAAAACTGAAGCAAAGGAAGATTAAAAAGTTTCACAGCATTGTATTTTTAAACTAATTTAATTAGCTTATTATAAGATAAAGACTGTTATTATTTTTTTTTTGGATGATAATAGAAAAATAATGGAAAATAAGATGCCTGCAGATTTCTTTATGTAGAGTAATATATATTATATTAAAATAAATTTCATAAGCCTGAATTTTAATGAAAAAAGGATTAATGAGGTTCGCATATTTGTATCCTATAAAATAATTTGTTGAAATTCTACAGGGTATTTGAATGAACTCTATTTCATAAAATAACAAGCAAATATTGATATTATATACAACAATGCCTTTAATACGTCAATTCACCAAATGCACGATATATCTATATTTTCTTTTTCGAGCTTCTATAAAAGGAGATTTATATAAACCATTTAGTAGGAATGAAACTTTTTTACAGCTCTCAGCTGATATTATGATGATGCATTATAATGTTGTGCTGCCGTTATTTACATTCTTATACAACTAAATGAAATTTAAAATATTTATTCATTTTCTTGAATTTATTTCATAGCTCTAAAATTAATTTAGACTATATTTTGGCGAAATAAATAGTTTGTTTTGAGAAGGAAAAATTATATCTCAAATGATTTTATGATTTCTATTTTAGAAAAATGCCTATTTATTCGGGAACATCTTAAAAAAAGTACAAACGGTTATGATTTTAATGTAAGAAATTAACTGAATAAAATTAGGCTTTCAGTTATGGACTATTTCATCTTTGAATGCATGAGAGACATGTATGAAATTTAAGTGTCTGCAAAGCGATTGTGCGAAAAAAGTGCCACTGAATGTGTTGTTCCTTACCTTGCTAAAGATGATTTAGAGAAATAAGACGATTCGTAGCACTTATAAAAGGTGCTTATAAAAGGTCGAAAACTGCGTTTAAAAATTTAAAAATGCAACTTCTGTGTAGTTAGTGCTTGAAAGTAATATTTGAAATCTCTCCTGCAAAATTTTGATTAAAAATATATATCAGTTAATTTGTGTCAGACGAGTATGGATTTTTTTATTCTAAAGCACACTGAAAAACATATTATTCATTGACATATTTATTTCTTTTGCAGAATGAAAAGAAATTTGCTTCATACATTTGTAATAAAATGAGTCAAAAACTGTTGTTGCGCGGCAGCGTATTTTATTTTTATTTATTTATCTATTTATTTGAAATTGAAACCATGGTTCTGACCAGAACAGTGAAAAAATTGTTTGGTTGTGCAATCTTTTTGAAGCAAGTGTACATTACAACTATCATGAACCTATTACCAAAATGCACTTTAATTAACGATAATTGCATATTAATTTAGTGAATACTATGTCTTTTTGTTACTCTATAATACCAAGAATATATTTTTAGAACTGGGAAAGAAAATTATATTTAGAATTGAAAGAATTTACGAATTTCACAAATTTTTCGCATTTTGTAAAATATTTAAGAATTAATAAGGCAATACTGAAATAAAATATGAAAAGATATTAAAACACAAAGTAAATGGTAACAAATGGCCCAAGATATAAAATAAATTTGCTTTTTTATAATACTTATTTCATCAATTCTTTTTAATTTGCCCCCAAATTGATTTCTTTCTCAATGTATTTTTGCTCTGAAAATGAATACCAAAACGTACGATTGGTATCATTGACAGTGACAAAAATAATATTACCACATTTGTATTAATTACGGAAATATGAGCCAGTTCCGCTTATAAAGTCCTCAGTTGAAGCTCTACTGCTCTTAGGCACAGAGGCAAGAGTATTAATTATGAGATTAACATCACTGGAAATGTAAATCACAATAGTAAGCATTGATTGTTATTAATGCATATTAGAACATATAATATTATCATAATTATCTCAAAAGGTGATATGCCCACTAATGGCCAAGCAGTAACATTACTGAACACGGGTAGTTCGGTTCGAATCCCAGTGAACAGGCTGGCTGTTCCATTGTGTAACATGTATAGGAGCTATTTCTCTTAGACAGTTTTCCTTTGGCAGATAGCCTTAGTGCTTTTTCAGGTAAACCAAACCAAAGAGAAATATTTCAAACAAAGCACAGATATTAAACTTTAAATAGTTCTATTTTGTTCTTAGGCTGTGAAATTATTTGAGGTTGATGTGAAGGAAGGATGCCATAAAAACTGCCAATAAAATGTTAAGATGTGAAAACTGATTTCAAGCAATACATGCATATATTGGCCTTTTTAGTAAAACCCCAATCATAAGTATTAACTAATGAATTTAAAAATAAATGGCTATCAGTACCTAATTTAACATCTCATCAGTCCTTAGTCATAAATAACGTCCTCTAGCGGCCGAGGAGTAACGTCACTGAACACTAGTAGTTTGATCCGGAATTAAATTCTCCCACTTGTAATGTGAATACAAGCCAGTTTTCTTTAAAAAGTCTTCCAAGAAGGCATCCCTTCCCATAAAGAGACAGTCCTCATTTGTTATAATTAACTGCAGTCGTAAATAACAAATTGTTTTCCTATCCCCAAAGTCCTACATGAAAGTTAAAGTTGTCATCTGAACTATCTTTATCTGAGCATCTAATTGTGTCATTTCAAATCCTGATATAGACAAATAATCGGAAATTCTTATTTCCTTTTTCGAAATTTTTTGCATCACCCAGATCACCATCATATTTTTTTCACAAGGAAGTTTCTAAGTAGTTCATTTTAGACAAGAAATCAGAAGAGTAAAACAATTTTTTTTTTAAGGAAACACACCTTGTCCTCATATTTCAATAATAAAATGTCCATACCTCACATTCACACAACTAAATGAATTTCGATACACACATATAAATGACACATTAGTTTGAAATGGAATTACATGATTTGAACTCTTTCAAAAATCTCATTTTTATTTCAAAACATTTATTCAAAATATATATTGAAGTAACTCTTTCTGTGAACTGTTATAATAAATTTTAAAAATGCAGTATTTTAATGAATGCGCACAGCTAAAAACAAAAATTATATCAAATTTCTCTGTTTCTATAGTCATTGTAAGATACCTGTTTAAGTATTTATTCAGTATTTATTCTATCCTAGAAGAAATTATTTGTAAATTAGGTAATGCTGAATTCTTTAAAAGTTATTCACGGGTTCCGTGCAAATTACATTTACTTTTGCAGAAGAAATTTTGTTTCACAAATTTTTCGCATACACAAAGGTTTTGCGCTGAAGGCTTTCCAGTATTTTCCAGTTTTGACACGAAAATTGCCCTCAGGCTGGCAGATGGTATGGCTGGATTTGATGTTTTTATTTATGACCCTCCCATTGAAACATCTTTCTCTAATGATCGCTGTTTCCCCACTACCAATTAAGTGCCACAGGAGGTCAGAGGGAATGCAAGTACAGAATATTCCATCCTCAACGATTTCGAGGCAGAAAATGTAAGACAGAAAAAAATCGTTTGAAACACTTTCGGATCCATCAAAAGCTGGCAAAATATTCCGTGTGTGACAATTTGGAAAGCCGTCTTTCAATACGGAAAAAATCCATCCATTAAGCTGAGAGGGTTAAGTTGCTTCATTTTTTTTGTGCTAATACTTTCTCTTTAATTCTGTAGACAAACATAATCTCTTGTTCAGTTACATTGTTGATGTCCTGTAACTGCTGTGTCGAGCATTCTGACTTACTTGACAATTTTTTTTTTTTTTTTCATTTTCAGTAACTTCTCTGTCACTTTCTTCACTATAGGTTGCGGTATTTTCTGGATCTAGAACCATACTACAGATTTTGTCAATCATTAATTGATTGATGATTGAGAAGCACCACAATGAAAAACTTCTTTTATATCATCTTCATTTATTACCGCTTCTCCTAATTCTTTACAAAATCTGTTAATTGGAATTATTTCCCCTTTGTTTTGAGATATTTGAAAACTATCATCATCAAATTTACTACCGTTCACTATACATATTTGGCTATGCATCTTAAGCTTGGTGACTAATGACAAGTTGTTCCATTTAATTTTAATCTTGCTTCTATCGTGCACTGAGACAATTAAGCCTGAATTGTATTAGTTTAGTTATTTATTAAAACTTCTTACCATGTGAGTTAATACTATTTCTTGCACATGCTTATTAAGGCTTATCAGAGTTCTGAATAAATAAATTCCCACATATACTTAAGCTTTATTGAGGGCTGGCGCTGGTTATCTTACCGCCAAATGCAGTCTCTGTGGATCCTAAATTCTCGACCGGTGCGGCCATACGAGCCCTGGCGCTGGTTCTGGGTTTATGTGAATAACAAATCAGTTATTCTTAATTCAAATAGCCCTAAATGTAATCTTTGGATCTATGAGTATCATCAACAAAATCTGCTTTTAGCAAATGGAAAGAAATTGTTCCTTGTTCATTTTTTTTTTTTTTCAATGCATTTAACTTAAATCTGTAATCATCACCAAACCTAATATCAACATAGATCCAAGATTACCATACTCCTTTATTATTCAATTACTAATAAAAAAAAATGTTTGGGCATTGCTGCATGAGCCATTACTTAAGTTGTCATGTGTTGATAAACATGCAGTGATGAAAGGAAAGTATAATATGTAATGATTCGCCAGGTCAGATCAACGATGTATCTATGTGGAATGTTTCAGTTTGAGATGTGTGCCAAGCAGATACGCAGCAACGAAGCCAAATTACTGATCATACAAATTTATGCTAGAATGATTGTTTCTTCAATAACAAGGTATTTTATTTAGGTCGAAGTGAAATTCAGAATCGAGACTCTCCAGATGTTTTATTATGTGCGGAGGGAGGAGTCAAATGTGCATGCGTAAAGCCTATGAGAAAATCATTCCGAATAATGAATGTCTGGATTTTGGACTTTGTACTGTATATAATTCAGCTACATTTTTTTCCTGTAATTAATACACTAATTTATGTGAAGAAAATCTTCAGACTTCTTTATATTATTCTATCATCAAAAAAACTTAAGATATACACTCATATAATATTACAACCAAATTAATAATAAAATATGGCTTAAAAAATATCATAAACTTCTTTGCTTCTAAGCAATATTGCACTATTATAAACTAAAAACACTTTTTTCCTAAATTACAATAAATTCTCTAACACACATTAAAAACTACGAAAACTGGATTATAAGAAAATGAATTAAATAAACATTTCAATGAAGGTATTTAAAAAAAAATAATTTACCACTGTGGGTCTGATGTAAAATCTTCCAAGAATTCTAACTTCCGCTGAGAAAATAGCAATTTTTGATCATTATTCATATACTGATAAGCATATCAAAGCTCTAAATCGATTTTCCATGGTGTCCCAACCTAAACAAGTATAATGTGATGCTCTGAAACAAATTAAAAAAAAACATAATAACAAATTATGATCATCTGTTTTTTATTTGATGTACGTGTGAGTAACACGTGCATACGAAAATATCCCTAACATTAACTAGGAAAGCCGAAATCTTAGTTAAGATAGACATGTTACAATTAATAATCAAATTTAATAAGGAAAAGTAACAGTTGCCGGGTACATTATAACGGCTTAAGAAATTCAGAGCACAGTACAGATGCGAGTACACAAGTTCACATATCTCGGCGAAACAGAGACGCACACATTTGTTGAAGTAGTTCCCCTTGACTGCCGGGGAAAATTCTTCTCTCCCCGTCAGCCTGTATGTTTGCCAAACGGGTTTACTGTTTCGCCAATTGGCGCTTTTCTGTACAGTTTTTAAGTCCGTATCGCCTGTTTGGCGCTGCCGCTGCATACTCCCTCCGCAGTGTCAACGAAATGTGACATACCGATGCGGGGGTCGGATTAATCGTCCAGAACGGGTGATACAAATGTCCGAAGTTTTTTTCACACTCTTGGAAGCAACTTGAAAAGAGTCCATGGTTACAAAAGCGGGTGTCAGTCTATCTATGGAGATCGTTTGCTTAGTCCCTTTTATTTCGAGATCAAACGTTTTATCTCGTCTTTCTAGCACATTAAATGGTCCATCATAAGGAGTTTGAAGTGGTTTTCTAACTCCGTCGTGTCGAACAAACACATATGTGGACTTGTGAAGGCGTGGATGAATGAAACATGTTCGCTGACCGTGGCTAGAAGTCGTGGTCGGGCGGACACTGGCAAAGTGAGATTTTAAATCCTCCACAAACTGTTTGGGGGAACGCATCCGGAGGTGTCGGATTGAAAAATTCTCCTGGGAGACGGATAGTCTTTCCATACACCAGTTCAGAAGTGGTTGCTCCTATGTCCTCTTTGAGAGCGGCGCGGAAACCCATCAGCAGCGTTGGAAGGGCAGCCACCCAGTCACTGGTATCGTGCGCTTTTAAGGCAGCTTTCAAAGGACGGTGGAATTCCTCGATCAGTCCGTTTCGCCTGTGGGTGGTACGGAGACATCCTGATCCTCTTGATTCCCAATAATTGGGAAAGGGCTCGAAATAAGCCGCTTTCAAACTGTCGCCCTTGGTCGGTAGTAATAACAGTCGGACAACCAAATCGAGTAATCCAGTGGTCATAGAAAGCCTGTGCTACTGTGCGTGCTGTTATGTCTGGTATGGGTACTGCTTCGGGCCATCTAGTAAATCTATCTATCATAGTTAGACAGTAATAATTATTTTGAGAAGGAGGTAGGGGACCAACAAGGTCAAGGTGGACGTGATCAAACCTCTGTGATTGGTCTGGAAACTTCATTAACGGGGTTCTAGTATGTCTGCTTAACTTTTGCTTTCTGGCACGGAATGCACTGCCGTGCCCATTTCGCGCAATCTTTGCGGATGGAAGACCAAACAAACCGTGAACATACTAACTTTGTTGATGCGCGAATGCCGGGGTGAGACAAATTGTGCAAGGTGGCAAAAACTTTCTCACGGAATGCCGGAGGAATGTAAGGACGGGCGTTACCTGTTGACACATCGCAATATATCGGAAAAGCTACAATTCGGTAAGGTAACTTTTTTGAGATGTAGAACTTTTGACTCTTTAAGCAATGTTTGTAATTCTGTGTCGATTTCTTGCATTTTAGCGATTTCCTCATAGTCGATAGGGTTAGGCATGCTTATTGCTTCTATACGCGAAAGTACGTCGGCAGCGATATTCTCCGAACCTTTTTATATGGCGAATTTCAGTGGTGAATTGTGAGATAAAGTCTAACTGCCTAGCCGGACGAGGTGAACACTTATCCAAACGCTGTCTGCAATCGGAACGCTGTCGGAATGCATACGTGAGCGGTTTGTGATCGGTGATTAAAGAAAAGTTCCGTGCTTCCAACATATGCTTAAAATGCCTAATAGCAGCATAAGCTGCCAATAGCTCTCGATCATACGCACTATAGTTCCTTTCCGCCTGCGAAAGCTTTCGTGAGAAAAATGCGAGAGGCTGTAAATTTCTATCAACTATTTGTGATAGCGTTCCACCGATCGCGAAGTCTGACGCATCAACCTGTGAAACCAACTGGGCATCTTTCTTCGGGTGTGCCAAAAGAACAGCATTACCGATTAGCTGTTTGCACTTTTGAAATTCACTCCGCGCTTCCTCAGACAAATTCAGGATTGTCTTATCATTTTTCTTAGCCCCTTTTAAATACGAAGTTAAATGTATTTGATTCTGGGCTACGTTGGGTAAAAATCGACGGTAAAAATTTAAAAATCCTAAAAATCTCTGCAAATCTTTTACCGTTTTAGGAAGTGGGTAGTTAAGTATCGGTTCCACTTTGTTCGTCAGAGGCTTGGTACCATCTTTATTGATTATATGGCCTAAAAAGATATTTCCGGAACGCCGAAAACACATTTCGAAGCGTTAATTGTCAATCCATATGAAGTTAATCTTTCAAAAACAGTACGTAGGTGAGATTTATGCTCATCTTCCGTATGACTAAATATCAAAATATCATCTAAGTAGACGTAGGCGAATTTTAGATCTCCAAGAATTTCGTTCATAAACCTTTGAAAGGTTTGAGCTGCTCCGCACAGTCCGAAATTTAAAAACGGAAATTCGAAAGACCAAATGGGGTGCAAACTGCAGTTTTCGGTATATGATCTGGATGGACTGGTATATGATGATATGCCCGAACGATATCAATTTTTGAAAAAATTGTCTTTCCGCTAAGCGTATTATTAAAGTCTTGTAAATGCGGGATAGGGTATCTGTCGGGTTCGGTGCACGCGTTTAGTTTTCGGTAGTCTCCTACTGGCCGTATGTCGCCCGAACTTTTAGAAACTACATGAAGAGGTGATGACCATGCATGCTGATTTTGATGGTCTACAAATACCTTGATCTATCATAAATTGAAATTCTTTTTTTACTGCTTCGTATAACTTAGGGCTTAACCTACGCGGTTTACTGTGCACAGGAGGACCGTTTGTTTCGATGTAATGAACCGTACTATGTTTTACTCTACCCGAATCGGATTTTAACTTCAGTACTTTAGGAAAGTCTTTCAAGATTCTGTGATATGGTGAATCACCAGATATTAACTTTACCGAAAAATAATTTTTAGAATCGGAAAGAGAACCAATACGAGTTAATTTCGTAGTATTATCGATAAGCCTACCTCGTTTTAAATCGATTAAAAGATCAAAATGCCTTAAAAAGTCGGCTCCTATTATAGGCACTGGTACATCGGTGATTAAAAACTTCCAAGAAAAGTTTCGTCTAAGTCCTAAACTCACAGTTAACAATTTTGTTCCATACGTAGAAATTCTGGAATTATTCGCGGCAAATAATTGAAGCGAATCAGGATGCATTTTCCTTAAACTTAGAAGTCGGTGTCACATATGAAACATCCGAGCCCGAATCAATCAAAAAGTTTAAATTTAATCTGTTATCGTAAACATGTAAACGACATGAATGCGCGACTGCCGATGAATTTCGATCGACGATAGCCGCTACTACTAGTTTTCCTGGGCCGTAGTGTTCTGAGAAAAGGAACAAGGTGCTCGACATTTTCGTGCATTACTACCGAATCGCGAATGAAAATAACAATAATTGTTCACACGCTCTCGGGAATGCCCACGCGAAAAACTACGTGCTTTGTTATGTTGATCCCGGGGGAAATTATTCCTCGTTTTTTCCGCGGGAGAGTCGCTCGACTTGTTTACTTAGGGCAGAGATTTCACTCCTTAAGGCCTTAAGCTCCTCGAGGGGGGCACCAGAATCGTTAGGGTTTCTGGGGGAACTGGCCGAAGCTGCCTGGACCGCGAACACGCTGTTGTTCGTTGGCGTGCGCACTTCAGCTATCTTATCAGCCATTTTTGCTAAATTGTCTAAGGATTCCAAACTTATTGATAAAATGGCATGCACCTCGGAACCTCGGAAGGTAACCTTTGCAGCCATAATGATTTTAAAAATTCGTCAGTTATACAGTTTCCACCTAATTCTCTCTCATTTTTCTCAATAAGTGAGATGGTTTGTCGTCCCCTAAATGCAATTCAGAAATAAGTCTGCGTATTTGCTCGCTTTCCGAATCTGAGAATTCTCCTATTAACCTAGCTTTAAGGGCATCATATTTAGCCGTCGCTGGGGGATTAAATAAAATATCTGATACTGCGGAAAGAGTTTCAGGGTCTATCGAAGAAACCACGTGGTTGTATTTTGTACTATCGCTACTAATCTTCGCTAAAGCAAAGTTACTTTCAACTTGAATAAACCAAAGTTTAACATTTTTTTTTTCCATAAAGGGGGAATTTTAACTGCCACGTGTGAGATTTGTGGCTCCTGAACCGCCATATTCGATTCCTCGTTGGTTTGGCCTTCCGATCCTGGCATGGTTGCCAATTATAAATATATCGTAAATCGTAAACTTAATGTTTTGCACTATACCTTATCAAAACAGTATCAATTTAGAATAAAATAACGAAGACATTCAATATCTCAATAAAAGTGTGAGCACAAATATTACTCAAAGATCAATTTTAAACAATCAATAATTAAATTAAAACTATAATTTTAGAGCAAAACATATCACAAAAACATAATTAAGACCAATCACAGATAATTAAAAAAATTTGACCACATACCTGTAAATCCTCCTTAAGTGTGATAAACCACGTGTAATCCGTACGATAAAATGAGGAGGAAATAAATGAATAGGGTGGAGCCTTTATCAGTCATAAGGAAGAGCATTGGCATCAAAATAAGGCATATTTTTAGTTTTTTAACAAAGATTGAGACAGATAGTCATTAGGGATCGAAACAGAAGGAGCGAGGGACAGGGTCACCAATGATGTACGTGTGAGTAACACGTGCATACGAAAATATCCCTAACATTAACTAGGAAAGCCGA